TTAGAGTTAGGTTTTTCTAGTTCTTAATGTAATTGAGAAATTAATTCCTATGGTCGTACTTAGGAGTATTTTCTGGTTAGAAGTAATCAATGGTCGTACCTTGGTTATCAATAAATTAAGGAAAAATTGGTCGTTAGAGTTCGTCGGCAACTATAACTGGCCTATTAATAAGTTAAGCGAACCTTCCTTGCATCAATGATCGGGTGAGTGGACTGTACCTGAGTAGTTGTATTCTTGACTAAAATTTATCTTTTCTTGATTTAATTCCTGTTATATTCGTGCTAGTTAATTATTTATTTATTTTTAGTTGAATTGCTTAATTGTTTTTAGTTCCACTCCGATAAAATCCCCCTTTACCAATTAGAATTTCAAAGAAACAAACATCCTCAGTCCCTGAGGAGACGACCCTGCTTGCCACTGTCTACTATTTAGTAATTGTCGTCAACTAATTAATTCTAGTATATCGGATTAAGCAAACTCTTCGGGAACATGGTGAATCAAGTAACCCATTGCACACCTAGAGTCCCTGCTCCAGTACCTAACATCAATTATTGACTGCCTTTAGTGGTAGTTAGGTTCTATTTTTATTATTGCACAGGCTCGACACCTGTCAAAAGGACAAAAAGTTTTAGTAATTTTAGGGCAAATTACATATAACCCTCTATAATTTTCTATAATAACAGATGATCTTCCTAAGGTAAACTCCTTGCGGTTTTATGTAAAGTAGAAAATGGATGAAATGCACAATTAATTACAGTAATTATATCAGATGCTCTCTAGGTGTGCGTATGATGAAACCATAATATCCATTCAATCCCATTAAAAAAAGATAAAATGCCTTCTACTAAATACGGTCATATCTTTAGTTGTTTAATAAAGTAAGAAGATTTCATAAATGTTTAGTATGTCATTTAATATTCAAGTTATTAGAAGAGGCCAGAGCTAGTAAACTTTTATTTCTTCCCTTTTATATGACAAGACTTAGTTATACACTAGAATTTTGCCCATGCCTTAGCACACTTTTTTTATTTATTGTGAATTTATACAAATCTGAATAATTTAAATACAAAAATTAACAACAATCCTATATGTTCATTCATATTAACTTTAAAATTAATGTATTCTAAATGTTCAATTATTTACTAAATTTTAAAAATTTATTTATATACTTTCTCTATAATATGATAGTATAAATCAAATAATGTACATCATATCAAAACCTTGGTAGATATTCTTTTTTTTTCTTATAAACATTCTCTTAGATAATTTAAATTTTTATAATGGCCATAAGTCTAGAACCATAAATTCATATTTAATTAAGTACAAAAGATTCAGTAATCTATTTTTCTTCATCAATAAATATTCAATTTCGAACAATATTGAAAAATCTATCAGTATAGTAGTTAATTTTTTTTTACACTAAATTAATTCAAAATTAAGGAACAGATGATAAAAAATTTGAATACTAATCAAGTGATGAAATGAAGTAATTTATAAGATATGTAAGATTTCAACAATTGTGATTTGAAAATTTTTTTACTATAATTCTATGTAATCCAAATACGATTCAATATGTGTAAAACCCATGCGATCCATAACCTATTAATTCTCTTCAAATAGAAAATGCCATGTAGGAGTGAAAAATAACTCTGATTAAAATAGATTGACAAATAGATCATTCAATTATAATCTCATAATTTATATGTTGTTATCGTACTATATATCAAGCTAATGTATGTATTTTATTGTGTAAAAGCTTATGTTCATCTTCTTCTTTTTTTTGTTAAAGGAGAGATCTTGAACCCATGATGTTTTACTTACAATCCTTCCCCTCTTACCACTGAACCCAACCCTCCCCCAAACTTATGTCCATCTTTTGTTATTGTCATCAATAAATTGGCTTCCAAAATCAGGAGAATAATATGAAAATTGGTATTCATTAATTTGGATGGAGAAAATTCCTAATACCTTTATAGTTTGTTTTTTCATAAATAAAAAAGATTTGTTAATGAGATTGCTGGAAATAGTTAAAACCAATTTATTTAACAAAGTCAAGAGGAATGTTTTGTAAAGAGTCTCCACAATTGGCAGGTTTTACATAAACCTAATACCTTCGTGGTTGATTTGGCGAAATCGAAATATTAGAGAGGCAATTGCAAGATTGCAGCGACATGGACTAGAATTCAAGATTGCAAGAGAAAAATAAAAATAATCACATAGTTTCCTTTTCTCTCTTACAGTGAACATGGCCATGGACTAGAATTCAAGAACCGCTTAAACCCAGCACTAGTTTAAAAAGCCCAGCAATGGCCAAGCAACAACCTGGACTGCTTAAAACAACCCGGACTGCTGAAAACATTTGTAGTCCAGTTTCGAGGTCAGAAGGCATCTATGTATACATTAATTTGAACTTTTGTTGGTCTTGACATATCAGAAAATCAAGAAAACAAAATATAAACAAAAGAATAGAAACCGAAAAAAAAATCCTTGCAATCTAGCAAGTTAATGGAGCAAGTAACCACTGGGGGTGTACTTAGTGATCAGATGAGAATTTTTAAAATCTTTTCCACTATCAAGTTCAATGTTCAAATCCTGTGCCTGGTAATAAGGGCAATAGTTGGGGGCGGAATAGCATGGGGAGGGTGGAAAAGTTTGAGAAAAAAAAAAGGTTAATGGAGCACATTTTAAAGGTGAAACTTGTTTAAAAGAAAAAAAGTGTAAAATTTTGCAAATGTCAACAAGATCTTCAATTCTAGTTACTACTCATGCTCTCCCATCTTCTCAATCTGGTACCAGGACACATGTTATGGCATTTAGTAATTGATCTAACTTTTACAATGTGACAAACCTTTTCATCTAATCAACAAAAGATATTTGATGTGTCGTGTTTCATATATTTTTATGTTCCTCTATCACTATGATTTTATGCATGTATTATTTTTAAAAAGTGCTATTTAGATATGTTTTTATGGTTGGACAGGGTAGAAAGCACTTGCGGTAAAAATGATGCAAAAAGAGATCAATTAGCAGGAAAATATTGAGTCCAAAAAGTCAGCAGCTAATGAGTGATAGGATGGGGGCCAAACACAACACCCATTTGACTTTAAAGCGGATTTCAATTAAATTGACAAGTTAAGTTATGATGGGCGCCTGTCTCACAATCCAACTCAAGAACCGACATGTACTAAACAAATGACTTCTAATTTAAGTTGACTACTTGATTCTACCCTAAAAACCCTACTGGAGGGACCTTATAAGTACACGAGTAAGAGCCGTTAGAAAGGGCTGTCAAAAGGAGAAGCAACAAATTTTTCTCTATAATTTTTCGTTTGCTAGAATTAGCGTAGTATATTTTATGAATTAGTTTTCTTTATTCACTTATGAGCATCTCTCTTACTCTTGCAATGATGATGTCTTGCTAGTTCTTTTATTCAAGCCAAGGAAAGAAGTGATGGCTCCTAGTATTGTGAAATCGATTTGATCTTTCCAACTTTTAATTAACTATCTGCAATTCCTTGATCTTGATTTGTGTTTATGCATGTATAGTGGAGTAAGTCGCGAATTATTCTCTATATGTGTCATATTCATGCCAAAGTACTAATTGTGATATGTAATTGTTATGTTTTAGTATTTCATGTAGAAAATAAGACTAGTAATTGATTGTCCTCTTTTATGAACCCTTAGAGGGAATTGTGGTGTTGATTAGATGATTGCGTGTGTCACGGGTTGTCATCAATTTCAGCTGATTCTTAGTGCCTAAAGCTACTATCGGATTAATTTGGAATTGCGTTAATACCTAAATAGTTTGATAATAAGAATACAACTACAGTGTATCATTCTAATTGTTGACTGTAGAGAATCTACGAGTTATTACTAATTCAGGGTAACTTAGGCCGAATGGTTGATTAAAGGTGACAAATGTCAAGACTGTGCAATAATAAAAACCTAACTACCACAAAAAACGTGTAATAATAAAAATCTAACTACCACAAAAAACAATCAACAATCAATTCCAGGTACTGGAGCAGGGACTCTGGATGTGCAATGAGTTACTTGATTCACCCTGGTTCCGAAGAGTTTGCTTAATTCGATATATCAGAATTAATTAACTGACAAAATTTACTAACTAGTAGACAGTGGCAAGCAGGGTCGAATCCACAGGCACTAGGGATAATTCGTTTCTTCTAGAGTTCAGAGCATGAGGGGGTTTTTGGAAAATATAAAATAACTAATTAACCAACTAATGAAACAACTACTAGAAATAAACAGAAATTAATCAATAACCAATACGACTCTAGCCAAAGGTGCAACTTTTCAGACACAGTCCATTCAACTGATCATTGATGCAAAGATAATTCAATTACTCATTACTAGATTGGTTATAGTTGTCATACACGCGATAAACAACCAACATTTCCTTACTTTTTCGATAGTCAAGGTACGACCGTTAACTATTTCTCTAACCAAGAAATAACCCTAGGTACGACCATAAAATTTAATTCCTCGATTGCATTAAGAATTAGAAAAGTCCAACCCTAACCAACAAACACGCTACAAGAGTTTGTTTAATTTAGATCATACGTTTCCCTAACATGAAACCAATCACGCTAGTCGTCACTGGTGTTAATGAATTGAACAATTACGGATTCAATCACTTAATCTGATAGTAGATTATTAGGTTAATCCGAATATCGGGCCCTTGACATTCAAATAACATAATAATCATAAAAAATTAAATCAGAAAACGTACAAATACCAATAAATAAAAGAAATAAGTAAAATAATTCGATCTCACAGATATTTGGAACCGCGTCTTTAAATTAACCCTTGACTAGAAAAGAAACTTAGTTGCGCATGGCCAATTGAAGCAATTCACACCATTTTTCCAAAGCCAGCGGCATAAGTCTTTGACAAGAGAAATACTAGAGAAAACAAAAGACTCCAAGGAAGAGCCCTGCGGCTCCCCTCTTCGTATCCTTCATGCGGGATCCGGCTATTTTGATTTCCTAGGCGAGTTAGCCATGAATTGGACGAGTCTGTGATCTTAGGAGCTAACCGGGAGAGAAATGTCTCGACACTTAGCCACTAAATCTTGATTTTGGTATAAGCACAGCTTGGCAATAGATGACGTGAGAGCTGACCATGGTTGAGTTTAGTTGTCCCCATGCTTGAGGGCAAGTATGATTCAGGTATGGGGGGAATTGATAGGGTATTAATTGTTAGCAATTTTATTATTAATTGCCCTTTTGTTCCTGTCAAACATTGTGTTAATTGTTAACATCTACTCATATTTGATATCTAGACTCAACTTCAGGGATTGGAGCAGAAAACTACAAAAAAGGAGGGACTTGCTCCATAAGTGGGAGACTTCAAAAAAGAAAAAAAGCTCCATGGACCTGGCCCACAAAGAGAGGAAGAAATGGATTTCCTTTTGCTCTTGGCCGAGAGTCCTACTAGCAAGAGGAAACAAGAGAAAATTGGGGGAGCCTCACTTTTAGACTTTTGCTCTCAAATTCGGCAGGGCCCATCTTTTGTACTTAGCTTTCTCAATTCGGTGGGGGACCACGGACGAGTGGAGCATTAGTCACTTTTGGCTTTTAAGGACAAGCGTACAGAGGCTTGGGAGCTTAGTTCTTTTTAGCATAGTTTTTAGTTTTCTTTCTGTCCTTGTCAGGCGCATGCCTACTGTTCGACAATATTCCTCAACGGGAAAAACATCTTTTATTTCTCGCTTCCTAGTGAAAACTTGATGCATTTGCAATCAATTAATTTGCGTAGAGATTTAATTATGCGGTGAGGCTAAGCCTTTCATCTAGTCAAGGATCAACTCAACGGCGCAGTCCCGAATATCTGTGAGATCTAATTAGTTTTCACGCGTTCCTTAATTTGTTAATATTTGCACGTTGTCTATTTGAATTTTCATGGGATTATTTTGTTAATTGGATGTCAAGGGCCCGATGTTCAATGTGACTCATTAATCTCCTGCCAAATTATTTAATTAAATCCGTAATTGTTTGATTGATTAATATTAGTGGCAACTGGCGTGTTTGCACACTAAGGGAATGTGCAATCTAATTTAAATAACCCTCGTAGCGTGTTATTGATTAGAGTTAGGTTTTTCTAGTTCTTAATGTAATTGAGAAATTAATTCCTATGGTCGTACTTAGGAGTATTTTCTGGTTAGAAGTAATCAATGGTCGTACCTTGGTTATCAATAAATTAAGGAAAAATTGGTCGTTAGAGTTCGTCGGCAACTATAACTGGCCTATTAATAAGTTAAGCGAACCTTCCTTGCATCAATGATCGGGTGAGTGGACTGTACCTGAGTAGTTGTATTCTTGACTAAAATTTATCTTTTCTTGATTTAATTCCTGTTATATTCGTGCTAGTTAATTATTTATTTATTTTTAGTTGAATTGCTTAATTGTTTTTAGTTCCACTCCGATAAAATCCCCCTTTACCAATTAGAATTTCAAAGAAACAAACATCCTCAGTCCCTGAGGAGACGACCCTGCTTGCCACTGTCTACTATTTAGTAATTGTCGTCAACTAATTAATTCTAGTATATCGGATTAAGCAAACTCTTCGGGAACATGGTGAATCAAGTAACCCATTGCACACCTAGAGTCCCTGCTCCAGTACCTAACATCAATTATTGACTGCCTTTAGTGGTAGTTAGGTTCTATTTTTATTATTGCACAGGCTCGACACCTGTCAAAAGAACAAAAAGTTTTAGTAATTTTAGGGCAAATTACATATAACCCTCTATAATTTTCTATAATAACAGATGATCTTCCTAAGGTAAACTCCTTGCGGTTTTATGTAAAGTAGAAAATGGATGAAATGCACAATTAATTACAGTAATTATATCAGATGTTCTCTAGGTGTGCGTATGATGAAACCATAATATCCATTCAATCCCATTAAAAAAAGATAAAATGCCTTCTACTAAATACGGTCATATCTTTAGTTGTTTAATAAAGTAAGAAGATTTCATAAATGTTTAGTATGTCATTTAATATTCAAGTTATTAGAAGAGGCCAGAGCTAGTAAACTTTTATTTCTTCCCTTTTATATGACAAGACTTAGTTATACACTAGAATTTTGCCCATGCCTTAGCACACTTTTTTTATTTATTGTGAATTTATACAAATCTGAATAATTTAAATACAAAAATTAACAACAATCCTATATGTTCATTCATATTAACTTTAAAATTAATGTATTCTAAATGTTCAATTATTTACTAAATTTTAAAAATTTATTTATATACTTTCTCTATAATATGATAGTATAAATCAAATAATGTACATCATATCAAAACCTTGGTAGATATTCTTTTTTTTTCTTATAAACATTCTCTTAGATAATTTAAATTTTTATAATGGCCATAAGTCTAGAACCATAAATTCATATTTAATTAAGTACAAAAGATTCAGTAATCTATTTTTCTTCATCAATAAATATTCAATTTCGAACAATATTGAAAAATCTATCAGTATAGTAGTTAATTTTTTTTTACACTAAATTAATTCAAAATTAAGGAACAGATGATAAAAAATTTGAATACTAATCAAGTGATGAAATGAAGTAATTTATAAGATATGTAAGATTTCAACAATTGTGATTTGAAAATTTTTTTACTATAATTCTATGTAATCCAAATACGATTCAATATGTGTAAAACCCATGCGATCCATAACCTATTAATTCTCTTCAAATAGAAAATGCCATGTAGGAGTGAAAAATAACTCTGATTAAAATAGATTGACAAATAGATCATTCAATTATAATCTCATAATTTATATGTTGTTATCGTACTATATATCAAGCTAATGTATGTATTTTATTGTGTAAAAGCTTATGTTCATCTTCTTCTTTTTTTTGTTAAAGGAGAGATCTTGAACCCATGATGTTTTACTTACAATCCTTCCCCTCTTACCACTGAACCCAACCCTCCCCCAAACTTATGTCCATCTTTTGTTATTGTCATCAATAAATTGGCTTCCAAAATCAGGAGAATAATATGAAAATTGGTATTCATTAATTTGGATGGAGAAAATTCCTAATACCTTTATAGTTTGTTTTTTCATAAATAAAAAAGATTTGTTAATGAGATTGCTGGAAATAGTTAAAACCAATTTATTTAACAAAGTCAAGAGGAATGTTTTGTAAAGAGTCTCCACAATTGGCAGGTTTTACATAAACCTAATACCTTCGTGGTTGATTTGGCGAAATCGAAATATTAGAGAGGCAATTGCAAGATTGCAGCGACATGGACTAGAATTCAAGATTGCAAGAGAAAAATAAAAATAATCACATAGTTTCCTTTTCTCTCTTACAGTGAACATGGCCATGGACTAGAATTCAAGAACCGCTTAAACCCAGCACTAGTTTAAAAAGCCCAGCAATGGCCAAGCAACAACCTGGACTGCTTAAAACAACCCGGACTGCTGAAAACATTTGTAGTCCAGTTTCGAGGTCAGAAGGCATCTATGTATACATTAATTTGAACTTTTGTTGGTCTTGACATATCAGAAAATCAAGAAAACAAAATATAAACAAAAGAATAGAAACCGAAAAAAAAATCCTTGCAATCTAGCAAGTTAATGGAGCAAGTAACCACTGGGGGTGTACTTAGTGATCAGATGAGAATTTTTAAAATCTTTTCCACTATCAAGTTCAATGTTCAAATCCTGTGCCTGGTAATAAGGGCAATAGTTGGGGGCGGAATAGCATGGGGAGGGTGGAAAAGTTTGAGAAAAAAAAAAGGTTAATGGAGCACATTTTAAAGGTGAAACTTGTTTAAAAGAAAAAAAGTGTAAAATTTTGCAAATGTCAACAAGATCTTCAATTCTAGTTACTACTCATGCTCTCCCATCTTCTCAATCTGGTACCAGGACACATGTTATGGCATTTAGTAATTGATCTAACTTTTACAATGTGACAAACCTTTTCATCTAATCAACAAAAGATATTTGATGTGTCGTGTTTCATATATTTTTATGTTCCTCTATCACTATGATTTTATGCATGTATTATTTTTAAAAAGTGCTATTTAGATATGTTTTTATGGTTGGACAGGGTAGAAAGCACTTGCGGTAAAAATGATGCAAAAAGAGATCAATTAGCAGGAAAATATTGAGTCCAAAAAGTCAGCAGCTAATGAGTGATAGGATGGGGGCCAAACACAACACCCATTTGACTTTAAAGCGGATTTCAATTAAATTGACAAGTTAAGTTATGATGGGCGCCTGTCTCACAATCCAACTCAAGAACCGACATGTACTAAACAAATGACTTCTAATTTAAGTTGACTACTTGATTCTACCCTAAAAACCCTACTGGAGGGACCTTATAAGTACACGAGTAAGAGCCGTTAGAAAGGGCTGTCAAAAGGAGAAGCAACAAATTTTTCTCTATAATTTTTCGTTTGCTAGAATTAGCGTAGTATATTTTATGAATTAGTTTTCTTTATTCACTTATGAGCATCTCTCTTACTCTTGCAATGATGATGTCTTGCTAGTTCTTTTATTCAAGCCAAGGAAAGAAGTGATGGCTCCTAGTATTGTGAAATCGATTTGATCTTTCCAACTTTTAATTAACTATCTGCAATTCCTTGATCTTGATTTGTGTTTATGCATGTATAGTGGAGTAAGTCGCGAATTATTCTCTATATGTGTCATATTCATGCCAAAGTACTAATTGTGGTATGTAATTGTTATGTTTTAGTATTTCATGTAGAAAATAAGACTAGTAATTGATTGTCCTCTTTTATGAACCCTTAGAGGGAATTGTGGTGTTGATTAGATGATTGCGTGTGTCACGGGTTGTCATCAATTTCAGCTGATTCTTAGTGCCTAAAGCTACTATCGGATTAATTTGGAATTGCGTTAATACCTAAATAGTTTGATAATAAGAATACAACTACAGTGTATCATTCTAATTGTTGACTGTAGAGAATCTACGAGTTATTACTAATTCAGGGTAACTTAGGCCGAATGGTTGATTAAAGGTGACAAATGTCAAGACTGTGCAATAATAAAAACCTAACTACCACAAAAAACGTGTAATAATAAAAATCTAACTACCACAAAAAACAATCAACAATCAATTCCAGGTACTGGAGCAGGGACTCTGGATGTGCAATGAGTTACTTGATTCACCCTGGTTCCGAAGAGTTTGCTTAATTCGATATATCAGAATTAATTAACTGACAAAATTTACTAACTAGTAGACAGTGGCAAGCAGGGTCGAATCCACAGGCACTAGGGATAATTCGTTTCTTCTAGAGTTCAGAGCATGAGGGGGTTTTTGGAAAATATAAAATAACTAATTAACCAACTAATGAAACAACTACTAGAAATAAACAGAAATTAATCAATAACCAATACGACTCTAGCCAAAGGTGCAACTTTTCAGACACAGTCCATTCAACTGATCATTGATGCAAAGATAATTCAATTACTCATTACTAGATTGGTTATAGTTGTCATACACGCGATAAACAACCAACATTTCCTTACTTTTTCGATAGTCAAGGTACGACCGTTAACTATTTCTCTAACCAAGAAATAACCCTAGGTACGACCATAAAATTTAATTCCTCGATTGCATTAAGAATTAGAAAAGTCCAACCCTAACCAACAAACACGCTACAAGAGTTTGTTTAATTTAGATCATACGTTTCCCTAACATGAAACCAATCACGCTAGTCGTCACTGGTGTTAATGAATTGAACAATTACGGATTCAATCACTTAATCTGATAGTAGATTATTAGGTTAATCCGAATATCGGGCCCTTGACATTCAAATAACATAATAATCATAAAAAATTAAATCAGAAAACGTACAAATACCAATAAATAAAAGAAATAAGTAAAATAATTCGATCTCACAGATATTTGGAACCGCGTCTTTAAATTAACCCTTGACTAGAAAAGAAACTTAGTTGCGCATGGCCAATTGAAGCAATTCACACCATTTTTCCAAAGCCAGCGGCATAAGTCTTTGACAAGAGAAATACTAGAGAAAACAAAAGACTCCAAGGAAGAGCCCTGCGGCTCCCCTCTTCGTATCCTTCATGCGGGATCCGGCTTCTCTTTTGTTATATGGCCTTGCCGACCAAATCTTCACCGAATCCCCTCCCTGCCAAATCCCTATTTTCTAGGAACTAGGAGGGGAACACCGCGCGATGCGCGGTGTAATTTTCAAGTTTGCCCAAAAACGTTCAATTATTCAAACTGGGATATTCAATATAAAAAGTTACATGAAGGTGCAACCAAATGTTTGTGATTATTTTTTATAATTTTATTATGCAATGAAGAGAGCCACAATTTCAGTCTAGTTGCTAAATGACAGTCATTTTTGGTATGCTGACTAATTGGACAGCAATGGCAATGTCATTAGTTTGAAAATAATATAACACTGTGTAATGCTGCCTTATATTTTTTATGTACACCAAAATCTGTGACTTTGTAGCTCAAAAAAAAAAAGAGAGAGCAGTGTAGTATTGCAGCAAGGCTTAGCCTTATTTTTAGACTCTGATACAACCAATCCACTATTTTCGTAATTGCATCAAATTAACCCAAAGACTGAAAGAAAGACCCATTACTTTGTAGTACAATAACCAAAATGGCTTCATTAGCTTGTAACTTCAAGAAATCTACGGAAAGCAAAAGAATTGTGCTCACATATCAACCGTAGTGAGATAAACTGCATTTGACCAAAAACGGAGGAGGATTACCTAATGCAGGTGTATCTTCTCAATACATCAATAGCATAGGGGATGGTCAACTACTCAATACACAAAAAAAAAAAGAAAAAAGGAAGTTTCACAGGCCTCGATGCAATTCTACCCTTGATCATTTGATGCATGTCAACAACCAGAATCCCGAAAAAGGAAAGACAAGTACATGAGATAATGTAAAAGCCTGCATTTATGAAACTTACGACCAGTAGACTGCATTCCAGAGGTTCTCATTACACATCAAAGCTGTTCCAGCTCAAAAAGGAATATAAGAAAAAGAAGAAAAAAGAAATGCACAGTGTGCATCAAGCCTTTTCCTTGTTATTAGAATCATACACTTCAAAATAACCGAAAGACCGAAAAATGCATTACTCTGTAGTACAATAACTAAAAAGGTTTTCATTAGCATATAACTTCAAGAAATCTAATGAAAAGAAACTGTGTTTACATATCAACCTTAGTGGGATAAATTGCATTTGATCAAAAAAGGAGGAGGATTATTAATATAGGCCATACTTCTATCCTCTCAATACATCAGTAGCAAAAGGGATGGTCAAACTCTTGGCACAAAATAACTCATCCAGTTACACAAGATTTTAAACCAAATAAAAATATTATGATAACACCATCCGCGTGAGATATAATGCATCAAGAGCTGACATACATATACAGCAGGTAATGCAAAGATCAGATAGCTACAGTTAGTGCAAAATCTAGTATCCAGGGTCATACGCTTCAAGGCTTTGATCTTGATAAAGCTTCAAGGGTGGCCGATTCTGCTTCCCACATAAATAAACACGTAGTTTTGTTAATCAAATGGCAGAGGCATTCTTGAGTGGTACTGCAAAAATCCACTTCGTATAGTTAAATATTAGTAACAATTACCATATTCTCCAAAAATATATCATAGATTTTTTTCTTTTATCATTGTCACTTCCATTTTAATCTAACTTTTTTCACTTACAGGAACATCATCATTAGCGCCTATCTATGCAATTACCTATATGGCAGACAAGTTTTTTCCATATAATTATCCCTGAAGGCAAAAGTATGGGGCAAAGGATTTTGTACAATTCATAGGTCGGGGCATACTGCACCAGTGTGGCCAAAGAATAAACGAACAATCTTCAATTACAATATAAAACATGCAATAACTACAAATGAACAATTTTCCATTACATTATTATATACACAATATACACACTGTTGTAAAAAAAATTCCATTCATAGAGATGGTTACATTAAACCGAAAGGTGAAAGAAAAAAGGTTAGAATCAGCACCTTAAAAGTAGTAGAAGGCCATCATTTGCTTTATTATATGCCGATAATTTTAATACCTAATTCCATCATGAAGAGCCAGGTAGCCATCTAATTTAACGCCAAATAAGGACACAAAGAAATGGTTTGCAAGCTAAATAGCAGAAAAGATAATTAACAGAAACTTAATCATTTTCTCATAATTAACAGAAACATAATCAACAAAGACATCTACTAATTATTAGTATACAAGCACATCTATTTGACTAAGATATTTTTTTAAATAAAGTGTAAACAGCTTACTTGTCTAAAGCTGAACTATGCTAAAAGGCCAAAGCTTGGGCTTAGACTGACTGGTACTAAACGAAGCATTACCCCTATAAAATTCAACCCAAAAGTTAACAAAAATAAACAGGAGCAAAAATAAATTGTTCATATGCAAAATGGAAACAAGTAGCAAAAAAGAAGGCTGTAAAATGTTACACAAAGATAATCACCAAGTTTTTAGCCAAAGACATTGTGCTAAGATTTAAACAACCCATGAATCCAAAACTATATGGTCAAAGAAGGAAAAGAGATCTAGGGATTTTTTCTTCTAAATAATAGGTTTTTTGGTAAACATACACCTTTCATAACAGCATTTGTGGCCAAAGTGTTATCTACCAACCAATCTAACAAATTTTGCCACTTTAACCTCCTTTCCCACAATTAGTTGAAAATTATTCAAAACCATAATTAAAAACTTCAAACTAAAGTCATCAAAAGATGAAATAAGTTCAATTCCATTGGAAATTGACAATGGCGGAGACATGAAAAAGAAACAAAGAAAATTGACAATTTAAGTTATTTCGAAAATCCCAAGCAACAACTAAACAAGAGCTGGGAAATTTGAGCATATAACATCTCGAGTGATAACCAATGCAATCTTGATTTTGAGCTCCAAGACTCCAAATGATCAAGTAGTATAGTACAGCATAAACTGAAAAGCATGAAACTTTTGCACTAAAAACCAAAGCCAACAGATGAGATAACTTATTTATGGCTTGGTTCCTAAGCTTAAATGACACCACAAATACAGCAATAATAAAAAATCAACTTTAATGTGCTCAAACTTCAAAGCTTGCGACGTCTGTGCAATCACTCAGTTGAAATTTTAGCTCAAAACACTATACAACGGAAAAGGAATAAGCAAAAGCACAAAAACACATAAAATCCGACATTTTAAAAGCAAAAAAAAATAATCCATGGAATTAATGTTTGGAACCTTTTTTACGGCATGCAGTGCAGCTCCATGACCACTGACGCCAGCGCCAATAATGATGAGATCGTAATCAAAGGATTTGGGAGGGCTTCCATTATCATCCGAAGATGCAGAAACCTTCGTTGGACTCGCCTGCGCTTTTCTCGGAAAAATTAGCCTCTTTGCTCGAATAAACTGGCCGCGCTTCAGCTGCGAGGGAACTGAAAACCCAGAGATTTCTAATATTTCACCTGCAAGATCTAAGCAGAAGAAAATAAAAAACATACTACGGGTAGGAAAGCAGATTTCTAATATTTCACCTACAAACTCAAAAGCATACTCAACAAGAAAATAAAAAACAGCAGATCTCTGGGTTTATAAATACTTCTGACTTTCGCTGCTTTTGGATGAAGATTTTACTACAGCTTTCTTTGTCTGCTCTGGGTTATTAATCGAAAGATTAACAAATCTTAGCAGGAAAAATGTCTTTCTTTCTTGAATAAAGGAAACTGTAAAACTTTGGGGAAATATTGGAGCTTACCAATTAAGATGATTTCTGTGTCTCATGCGTTTAGTAGCTTCATATCCAGACCAATTCTAACAAGGGAAAAAAATCAGTTAGAATCATATAATTGAAAAAAAAGGAAAGAGAAGAAAGGAAAAAGGGGGGAGGGGGGAAACGGGAAGGAAAAACAGAGAAAAAAGGACCAAATAAAAACAACAAAAAGGAACAAAGGAACAAAGAAAAGAAAAGAAAAGAAAAATGGAAGGGGAGAGGAGAGGAGCTCTGGAGAGCAACGAAGCGGCGGACATGAATGAGGGGAAAGAAAACAAGGGAAGCCCTAAAACAAAATTTTTGGCACGCGAGTCCCGCGTGATTGACGACCAAATTCCAGCCAATAAAACCCAGCCACGTCAGCAAAACAATCACCACCCTTAACAATCCCATTCGCGCTTTTACTATATAGGTTGATAAGTTAACTAATGAATGAATGGTTTCCTATTATCACTCAATCTCTTTCTCACTAATCGGAAATAATGTCCAAAACAAATAGGGAAGTTCCAGTACCTATAAAACTCGAAATTTGACTTGGATTGGAAAACTGCCTAATATCAATCCCGACTTTCTGGTCTTGAATGTAGGTCCCGAACGTACCACCATCAAATTAACAGAAAAATTGCCATTTTTAATCACGTTTTGCTCCTTTTCCTACAATTAACACCAAATACCAAATATAAGTAGAATCCGACAGTTAAAACAATATTTGCCTAAAATCAAGGGAAGAATAATTATAAATTTAGCAACAAATTATGACCTATCAAAAGGCTAGATCTCTAGGAGTTAATGATCAATCAGAGTGAAACCCTTCAAATTCTTGGCTTGATTTTCACTTGTTGATTATATTATTTGTTTTTAATATTGCTTTCTTAATTTTGTTAGTAAATTCCTCTTGATTTCTTCCAGTTCATTCCATTGATTCAACTTAGAAGAAAAAAAAAATAAAAGTTTCACTATTACCTGAACTCCGCTGCTATAGTTTTGAGAATTCAATAAATAATTTTTGACACTTATGGCAAGTGATCAATAGTCCTTGTCATTCTTTGCTTAATGTACCACCACTTGATTATTTATGCTTGTGGTTTTTTGGCATAACTTGAATAGCAAAATTGTGCACTCCAGAAACGTAGAATCTCAAGCCAATCCAAATACACACACAACAAATTCGTCTGTACGCATGTACAGATCAGGAAAGAAAAAGAAAATCAAGACAACTACCGTACTACTAAAATCATACAAATTTCTTCTAATCACTCGACTATAAGACGGCATACAAATTAACTTTTCCAATTAAAGTTAAACTATGTCGACCATCGTCAACTTTAGTGTTCTTGCGTACCCATTGCATACATAGTACCGGCTAAAATAGATAATTTATATTACTATATAGTAGCAATTCCCCATGCCAAATGGAGATTAGCCCACTATATGCACCAAGATGCAATACAATGGTATAATTTCTCACTATTAATGAAGATCTATGTAAGTCCATGACCTTAAAACATCATCATACAGTAAAATCCTTTTTTTTTTGGTCCACACCATGTAGTACTAACCAAGGGTAGTATGATACATGTCTCCATGTGTGCACTTTCGTACTAATATTTGACGAGTAACATATAACAGTAAATGTATAGATGGCATTGCCCTTTATCTTCTTCTGCCTCTAGTACCACTCTGCCTCTGGCAATTGTAGTAAACTGCTGCAACAGGCAAACCTAGATTGTAAAGTTCAGCAAAGTCCCTATTGTTGAAGTTCTGGCGCGGCCTCGGTGCATACTGTCTGCTGCCCAAGCTGTTGGAAAAGCACGAAAATTATGCAGTGGATCCCAGTCGATGGCCGTGGAGTCTCGTAGCACACAATTTCTTGGCCTACAATCATCACCAAAATGCAAGTTATTTCTTCAATGCATACAGTACTGGCAAAATTATGGCTCACCCGTCTTTGTTTCTTCTTCTAGTTTTTTATGAGTAACAATTTTTATTTGATATCATTTTGATTTGGTAATAAGTTTTCACAATATTGGTGCCCGTAAACGCTAAAACATTGAAGCCACCAGACATTTACTTGGACAGGAAAATGACCTATTTGATCCAAGCCTCAAGTGGGAGCAGCATTCCTGAGCAACTATTCACGCAACCAATTTCTCAACCCATGATGCAACTTATTAACTAAATAAAGTACTAGCACAATTCTTCAGGATCATCGTCTTTTGTTGGTTGAATAGTGCTGAAGGTGAGGAATCATAGGCGTCATCAGACCCTCGTCAAATGATAGCATTCGAACATTTTATATTCAAATACTAATGACATTTCTTTAGGAATTAATATGATTCACATATTGATTGACTAAGATATCCTTTTGCTAAGTACATTTCAAGAAAAGGAACGAACTGCAGTTTTAGTTGTCAATGTTTGGCTTCTATGCCAATCTGATTCATAATATTATTATCAAAATAATTTTGATACTCAAAATTTCTTATTTTTGTCTAATTAAGACAACTAACCAGATATTAGCAATGGCTAACAGTGGAAATCAAATAAGCTTTAGTTAAAAAGAACTTTGGCTTTTCATTGTTGGTCTCTTATTTGAGAATTTAGACCAATATGGTCTCCTAGATCTCAAATAAATAAGAATTTAAGATTAGATAACACATGAATTGAATTCTATATATGATAAATATGTTTCATAACCCCTAACAAACTATAAGGTGGAAAGGCTAGTTATGTGTTATTTTGGTCATATGCACAATCTAGTAGATAAAACTCAAGAATATATTTTTCTTTTAACACGCAAATACTTGTCATACTCTTGGTATCAAAAAAAAAACATTAAAGCTGGTCTTTTCGTATGAGAAGGAGTACTCTTTTATAGTTTTGATTTTTCTTATTTGAATAAATTCTCTTCTAAAATTTCTTAAAGAGAGATTCTTATATCCTAAGATTTCCTAGTGAAAGTTTCTTCTCTTTTAAATTGTTCTAGTAAAAGTTTTATTCTCTTCTGTGTTTTTTCTTGTGAGGGATTTTTAGATTTTTATCTTTGTGAAATTTGAGATTTTGTAGATCTAGAATCTAGTTTTTCAGATTTACAATTTCTCCATTATTATCATATCCAAATTTCTCTTTGAATTTGAACTAGTTTTAAATAGATCCGATTGCCAGCAGACATACACTGATGTATTAGGTTACAGTGATTCATCTAGATGGAAGATATATAGGAGTATCAACTTTATCTTTATTTTTATTGTTTTCTTAGATCTGTTATAACTATTGATTTCAGATCTATATGTATGCATGTTATGTTTGTTTGATGTATTTTCTGTCATTAGTGCATATTTGTTTGAATGAAATAATTTTTTCTATAAAAAAATAATAAAAAGTACTTACAAAATTCCTAAAAGCCGTTCATATCAGCACAATAAGATCCTTATAACTTAGAAGCCACCTTGTAAAGTGCTCAAGTGAGCACACTATACACGCAGTTTCAAGATGAAATTTGAAATTGAATCATCAGGCATGTGCATCAAAAAAAAAAAATCATCAGGCATGGAATTTGTGATTCAGCCTTGATAATAATTGGAATACTCTGTGAAGGAGTTCCTTCTCCACAATTATTGAAGATATTTGAATTACTAATCATGAGAACATGAATTAGAAATTTTCAATTTTCAAGGCAATATAAATCCGGAAAACCTCATGATTAATTCATTACAAAATTAAGACAATTCAGTAAATCAGCAAGAAATTTATAACTAACAGCAAAAACAATCTAAATTTCTATCTTTGTCCACTTTGTGAAAGGCGAAAGAAGAAATTTATTCTACATTAAAGCCATTCAAGAAAACTTTGTCTACTCTCTTGCACACCTTGAAATATAGAGGAGAAAATAACCTGTTTTATCCCTCACATTTCGTAAAAATATTTTTTTCATCTCTCACATTTAAAACGAAGCAAATTGGTCCTTCACATTTAAAAACCCAAACTTTTACATTCTAGAAATAAACTCTCAGTTGTGAATCAAACCATCTAACAACCCGATTACAAATTTTGGGGATGGAATTGATAAATCACTTGCAAAAACATATTTCTAACAAATAAATTAAAACAATTAAAAAATCTTAATTAAAACCCATTTGCTTCTTCAAAAGAACGAAATAGTGCTAAACCTCTCAAGCACTAAACCCTTAGTGCAACAAAACCTTGCATTGGGAGATAAGCAACTGGTCATGAAGCGTTGGAGTTCCAATGCCAACATCCGGCATTTTTCCCCCACAAAATTCCTTCAAAGCTCTATGCTTGACAAACAATCCAGAACTAGATATCAGACCAGTATAGTACTGCTCCCTTAGACATATTCCTCAGTTTTGTTGCACTAAAGGTTTAGTGCTTGAGAGCTTTAGCACTATTTCGTTCTTTTGAAGAAACAAATGAGTTTTAATTAAGATTTTTTAATTGCTTTAATTTATTTGTTGGAAATATGTGTTTGCGAGTAATCTATCAATTTTACTCCCAAAATTTGTAATCGGGTTGTTAGATGATTTGATTCACAACTGAGAGTTTATTTCTAAGATGTAAAAGTTTGGATTTTTAAATGTGGAGAACCAATTTGCTTCGTTTTAAATGTGAGGGACGAAAAGAATATTTTTACGAAATGTGAGGGGTGAAACAGGTCATTTTCCCAATATAGAATCCTAGTCGGGGCCCTAGGTTCCTAATATACCCTTTTTCTACTAGACCTACAAAAAATGAAGTATAAACAAAAAAATGTTAAGATCAAGTATAAACATTTTGTCACACAGCTATGTGATTTAGAGGATCTATGTATATTCGTCCTTCACTAAAGCTATCTCATTAATAAATTCCACTCGTATGACAATTCAAATCAAATTCTTTTAAATCAATGAGTTAATTATTATCCAAACATCACAATAAAGTAAAATGTAGTTCAACTCATAAATATTAAGGCCAGATGCTGATGGCTAATTAAGTTGCAAAGAGAAGTATTGCAAAACTGCTAGTCAAGAGATCCAAGAAAAATCATGACCAAGAAATGTTTATTTCCTTGAAGGATAAATTAAACATTAAAATTATAGCATCCTAAGCCACTCATATAGCAGCCTCAAAAAGTTAAAAGACGAAGACTTGCTTGCCTCAGCCACTCATAACAGTAGCCTCAAAAAAAAAAATCACAATGACAAATTAAATAAAATAAAATTTTAAGTTACCATAGCCACTAGAATTTGGCTCAATCCGTAGTGGACAAATAGGGACCATAGAATGGCTTAGCAGTTTTGACATTTGGAATGAAAAAAAAGAGTGGTTTTAGAGGTTGTGATTCTATGACGGAATATTTTTGCAGAAGCTGAGAAAGAAAGAAGGGTCTCATTCTTGAATATTCATACAACAATGACGACAACCACAACCACAACATGGGCTACATTTCTTTGTTCCCATAATATCATCCCCTCATATTACAAAGAATTTATAATCAGCAATAGGACTGTAAATGAATCTAAGTAATTTGAAAACTGTAGTGTTCAAATTTATTTGATTATTTTGATAAATTTTAAATTTATTTAAATTTGATTTGTTTATATCTCAAATCGAGTTAGAACCGACTTTTATCAAGTTAAACCTAAGTCGAGTTTGAGTAGTTTGAATTTTTTACATATAAATTTTACTTCTATATTAATTGAGCTGGACTTAAAAGTTTATTAAACACAAATTACTATTCAAACTTGTTCATCTTTCAACCTTAACCAACAATTGTATTTATAGCTTAGATGTGACAAAACTAACTGTCTAATATCTGTCATTATTTCTAGATTTTGTGCATATATATCCATCCCTTACTTGGTTTAGGCTATCTAGCGTGATTTTACAGAAACGTCGGCAGTTTCCTCAAATCTAAAACATTAGAAGGTACCAATTCAAATTTGTGTAGAAGTCTTTGTTTTCAAGATCACAATTTCGTCTAGCCCACCAAACTCTTAACGCCGCTCAGCATTTTTACCTTTAATTCAAGACTCGGCAGGCTGTGTCTAATCCACTAGCGGATCTACTCTTTAGCCAGTGGAGGCATGTGCCTCCGCCGGGCTCCACATGCCTCTACTGGCCTAAGAAAAACCCATGATAGCAATCCAATAGGATAATAGGCATGAAATAGGGAATACCGTTTCATCAAATCTTTTTGTAGTAGTGACTGTAATAAACTTAGATTATAAAATTAGAATTCTCTTTTTCTTCTAATGCTTTATATTTTATTTATGATTGGCATGTTTTATTCATAAACTAAGATGATAATATGCCAATAAACAATAAAACATAAAGTATAGAATAAGAAGAAAAAAAAAAGATATGATGTATTATTATTAGCATGAATAAATGAAACAAAAATTAAAAGAAAAGGAAGAAGAAAAAGAAGTTTAATTATAATTCTTATTGCCCAATTAATACTATTTCATTTTAATTTGTATTTCAATTCATGCTAAAAACCCTTAATATCACTATTTAAAAATTACGAAATAAAATGATTCAAAATCAAAACATTGGGGACCAAAAGTGCAAAGGCAAAATGATTGACTAACAGCAATTTAATCTTGACCATCAGTCATTGTTTCATTTCTGTTAATTGTCCTAAATTTACCTGTAATCACAAACTTCGGAGACCTGACTTATTTTGGTCGGACTGTTGGGGACCAATTTGGCACATAGGCCAAATATTGGGGATCAATTGTGGCCAAACATTAGGGACAAAAACTGTAATTTTCATAAATTCTTCCAACAAATCTTTATCTTGCACACTAGTCCCTTAGTTTTTTTGCGTCTTCAAGTTTCACTTCTAATAATCCCCCAATTTAGTACTTGAGTATTACAAATAGCATATGTAGTACTAGCTAAAATATATAATCTAAATTATATGGTATCCATTGCCCCTACATAGTAAGAGATTACCCCATCTTTTATCACTATTAATATGATTCTAAGACCACCAACTAATACTAATCAACAGTAGTAGGACGCAATTATTTTTTCATGTGCCCTTATGTCCTTCTGCCGCCACTGCCACTCTGCCTCTGGCAATTGAAGTAAACTGCTGCAACAGGCAAGCCTAGATTGTACAGCTCAGCAAAGTCCCTGGTGCTGAAATTCTGGCGCCACCCTGGTGCATAGACTATCTGCCGCCCAAGCTGCCGGAAAAGTACAAAAATTAAGCGGTGGATTCCCACAGATGGCCGTGGACTCTCATAGCACACAATTTCCCGGCCTACAGTCATCACCAAAATACAGTTATTTCGTCAATGCACACAAGACTGGCAAAATTATGGCATACCCGTTGTTCTTTTTATTCTAGTTTTTGATGACTGCCAATATTTATTTGATATCATTTTCATTTAGTACATGGTAACATTGTCATAGCATTGGCGCTTGTAGACACTAAAAATTGAAGCCCTCAGACATTAATTTAGGCATGGAAAATGCCCTTTCCATCCAAGCCTCTAGTGGAAGCAGCATGCCAAGGAACTTATTCACGCATCCAAGTTTCACAATCCACATTGCAACTTATTGACTAAATAACATTCTAGTAGAACTCTTCAGATCCTCGTCTCCTGTTAGTTGAATAGTATAGGAGGTGAGGATTTATGGGTTTGATCAGTCCCTAATTAAGTCACAGCATTCTAAAAATTTGTTTCATATACTAATAATATTTTCTTGGATGATGATTCGCATGTATCTTGAGTCTCTTGACTAAGACATCCTTTCACTAACTACATTTAACATAAAGGGAGAAATATAGTTTTAGACTCCAATGTTTGATTCGTGTGTTAAATTAATCAATAATATTTTGACTGAAAAATATGAACATTGCACTTATAATCCTCACAAATTGAATTACAACCCAATTTAGATGAGTCGTCAAATGATTACATCTGATTAATATTGCAAGTAACCTATATTATGATGAAAACAACAGCCTTTTTTTTTTTGTCTAAGACGATAGATCCTACATTTATTCTATACCATGGGAGAGAGAGAACCTAAAGAAACCCTCAGAGAAATCGAACGAGATTGAATCACCTACCGGTTCAGACGAGTGAACTCGTCTAATAGTTACTTGAAGTGACCTGCCACATTTGTCACCTCCTACCCCACCAAGTGTCAAGGTTTTGGTAGTGATGAAAACAACAATCCACATATAGTGAGAAAAATATTTATTTCGTTTCAAGGTCACGAGCCCCGATCTTGGCAGCGTCAGCACCTTAAGGTTGACCCCGACCAATTGGGCTAAACCAGTTGGTTAACTTTATCAAATTTGGACTTTATTGTTTTTCTCTATATTCGTGCATTTTGGTCTTACCACTAGTAAGCATGCGCAGATCAGGTGAATCACTATTTCATCTGCCAAAGCATCTTCGACATGAAATCAAGGTTGCAGAGACACTCACCAAGATGAGAGAAATAATAAGAAATATACGCTAAATTTAACAAATAGAAACACTCACCAAATAATGGACCTGTGGTGGCTGGAATGTCTGTGACCAACCTGTGAATGGTTTGCCAACATCATAACTAAATGAACCATGAAATCAAGAATGATGACTATGCATGCATGCTCACCTTACATAGGCTAAGTCTTAATCCATGATCTTTTCAAGAAGAAATTTGAAGAACTAATCATGGGAACATAAATTAGCAATGTTCTAATTTCAGGATAATATGATACTGGAAAGCCTCATGATTAATTCATTCTAAATGCCAATTCAATAAGCCCGCAAGAGATTTATAACTAAAAGCAAAGATACTCAAAGTTTCTATCTTTGTCCACTTTCGGAAAGGTGGAAAGAGAAATATATTCTACATTAAAGCACTTTGAGGAATCTTTGTGCACTCGCATCTCCACCTTGGAAAATAGATACCTAGTCTGGGCTCTAAAGTACTATACTTTTAGCTTCATGTGGATTAAGTGAATTGAAGTGCTTCTAAAAAATTTTATTGTAATGGTATATGTGACAAACTTTTATTATAGATGGTTAGATGTTTTTAGGAGTGTTTTTTAGAGTGTTTTTGAGAATGTCTTTTGAAATATTTTTAGAATTAAAATTTTTTGATATTTTTTAAAAATTGATCACCACTCACCACCACCGGTTGCCGCCGCCACCTCTTTCCTCCCTCCCTCCTCCTCTCTTCTATTCCTTCCTTCCCTTTCCTCTTCCTCCACCCTCTTCATCCTCCCTTCTCCTCTCCTATAATCCCTCCGATCCTTTCCCTCATGATCTGGTTGTGAGCCACAATTGCCCAAGAACAAATTTGGTTGGACCTATGATTAGACCTGATCACAACAGATCAGGAGGGAAGGGAGGGGAAAGGGTTGCGGGGGAGGGATCGGAGGGAAAGGGGAAGAAGAGGGAGGAGGAAGGACGGGGAGGGAAAGGAAGAGAGAGGATAGAGGAGAGGGAGGGACTGTGGTCGTGGAGGTGGAGGTGGAGGTGGAGGAGGAGTGGAGAGGTGGCGATGGTGATGGGTTATGGTGCGTGGTGCATGGTGCATGGTGCATGGAAAAGAAATGTGGTAAAATTTATTTTTTAATTTTTTTGTTAAGTTGTATTTGAGATTGTGTGCGTTTTAAAATTGTTACTATAGATCCAAAAATAAAAGCAGTTTTTTTTTTTAAAAAAAATGGCAATCCATATGGAATTGTTCTACTAGACCTACAAATATGAAGCTATAACAATTTAAATGAAATTCTTTTGAATCATTGAGTTGATTTTTGTCCAAGCATCACAATAAAGTAATAATTAGCTGGACGAAGGAATATGAAAGCTGGATTGAAAATTGTTAGTCAAGAGAACCAAGAATAATCATGACCAAGAAATGTTTATTTCCCTGAAGGAAAAATCATCCGTTAAAACAACAGCAGCCTATGCTTGCATAGATTTCAAATAAAAATTTTAAAAACAAAAACTTGCTTGCCTTAAAGAAGGGTCTCGTTCACGAATATTCATATAGCGACAACGATGGCAACATGGGCTACAGTTCTTTGTTCCCATAATGTATACGATCCCCAACGATACCGACATCATGCTGTGATTTTAAAATTCATGGTCAATCTTTCAGCAGTATTTGGACTTCAATTTGACTAGATCACGTACCTACTATCTGTCATTATATGTATATTTTGGGCATATCTAACCCTTTTGTTTCTTTTGGTCATATATATATATATATATGGAAATTCACAAATATGGTTTAGACTTTAGCCCAACCAAATTCTCTTGTCTCTGCTCACCATTTTTCAATCGAAATTTTCAAGATTGTGTCATATCCACTAATCGTGCCCCCACTAGCCAAAGAAAGTCGATAGTTTTAGGTATGGAAATTCAAATGAAAGATTCAATTCTATCAACTAATTTGTAAATGTGCCCTTGCTGACTAGGGGAATATCTTCATTTAAGTATTGAGTTTAGAAAAACATTTATTTTTATCACCGTTAAATTGTAAATTATGAACTTACGCATGCACCTATAAGTAATTAAAAGGTTGCAAGGAATTACAAAGTTTCTTGCGTCCTATTATGTTATGTACCAAAACATATATTGCTACGGAAATAACGTCTTTCTAATATTTAATTACTACCTAATAAACTAAATTTATTGCTCACTGTCTAACAAACTAAAACAATTTTCTATCATTGGTGCTAACTAAAATACTGTCACATAATTCATCCTAAACCCCTACTCCATTTTTTCACTCTTTCTTCTTCTTTTTTTGCCTTTGAGTTGCAATGCAATAGTATACTAGAAAGTAGAAATAGTTTTGATCGGAAATATTTTGATGTTTCTAAACACCCAAGATTACAAATCCTAGCTAGTAGCCCATCTCGAGCTGCATGAACAAGTGGCGCATGTACAAGACGTATATGTAAAGACAGAGATACAGAAGCCATGTGAGTACAAACCAGTAGAGATATTCCCTAAGGTTTGGATCACTCGGACTTGGAGCATCAGGGTCCACCATCACCTTCATAAACAACAATCAAAAACGTTGTCAAACATGTCTTCATGACGAAAGAATAAAACGCAAAAAGGAACACCTTCCACCTGAACTATTGATTCCTAGCTTAGCCAGGCTGGATTACTCGTTCAAGCAACAAATAGAACCAGACCAAAGAAAAAAGAAAAATATTACACTCCTAGGACTTTCATTGATTAATTCCAAAGAGGAAGAAACTATATATGTTCCAATTCTACATGATGGGATAGTAAAAATAGGAAGGTTTTCTGACGAATTTTCAATCTTTCTTACCTCGCAATCCAGTACCCTTATGCATGAAGACAATCAATTCAATCCAGTATATATGATGTTGTTAATGGAATGATGGCATATATGACGAATTTTCAATCTTTGTTACCTCGTAATCCTGTGCCCTTATGCATGAAAACAATCAATGCAATCGAGTATATATGATGTTGTGAACGGAATCATCGAACACTACTATGGATCTCATCCCGGAACGAAACTTTGGAATGGAATAATGGCTCGTGGAAACTGACCAAAATAAGCATTAATAGTGAAGATAATGATCATTTTACTTACCAAAGTATAGAAGGTACGAAAATCGTCACCTCCTATCTCAACCCTAGGCTGACTCTCAACCTGGGAGGCTCTGAGTTCACTGCCACTAATCACTACTCTGCCACCGTAGATCACTCTAAGGCTTATGGACCTTGTGAAGGGGTCCAAAACGTCCCCGATCACACGTCCAACCTCTAGAGGGTCTCCACCACTAGGCATAGTCTCTGTTAGACCGCCCAAAAAAGAGGGGCCAAATCCTGCAACTTGCTACTAGTTATGAGGAGGGAAGTGAACTAGCTAGTGAAGGGGTGAAGTGTTATGGATGTGCTGAAGGTCTTTCATTATTTGTAGCGTTTCACGACTAGTTGGTTCCAGGTATCAATGGCCCTTTTCTTCATAAGAATCTTAACTTTTTCACGTTTTCCAAGAATTTTCATTTGTTTTTTGTCGTTTAGGTTAGTGTTAGTTGATATGGTTTAAGAAATGAACATCCCAAGAGTGTCATGTGGGATTTTTTCAAGATCCAATGTCAGATACCTAAAGATAACTGTAAAATATAAAATGCATGCTGTTCTCCAAAATCTTTGGAAATGGACAACTACGGACGAAATTTATCACCAAAATAATTATTTTGCACCAAGTGCAGATCAATATCTCACATGCACGTCTGTGAAAAGATACTGCCTTTCTTAATACTTATTCTCTTACGCCGGTAGGACTAGGTATTAGGCTCCTTTCCATTACACCCCAATAAAATTGAGTGCTAAAATATTCTCAAAAAAAATATTACTTTTTAGTATGTTGATCTAGAGATTAAAAGAAAAGTAATAACACAATTGGATGACTTAAATTTTTTTTTTACTAATTTAAATATAAATAAATGGATAGATTAGTGGAGAGAAATCCAGTGAAGAGGATTCTAACTTGTAGGACTGGTTTAGGCTACTAAGCTGTTCAAGTGAAGTTGCTATTGCTGTCCAGCCAAATATTGAACTTCTAGGGTTTCAAATGAAGGGAGGAGGAGGAAAGAGAAAGTGAAAGAGAAAGAAAAACAACTTAAAAAGAAAAGCGGAGAAAACAAAACATTGAAGATGACGCATTAGGTTAACAAATTTTTTACATTTGATCACAGAAACTACAGGAATGGGAAGCTAAAAAAATGATCAAGAGCGCAAGGGACAAATTCGACAATTGCGATAAGTTGATAGGGAAGAATGATGTAGGTCAAAGTTGAAGCGAAATAAATAGGGAAAATCACTCATTTTTTCAACTCAATTATTGTTTCTCTCTTTTTATACTAATTGGTTGTAGGGAAGAAATAGAGAGCACAAATGCGAAAGAATTTTAAAAAAATGGTTTACCAAGCAAATCAGCACACTAAAAAGTGGTGCAAAACAGATTACTGATGATCAAAACATAATGGAGCTTCTTAATTGTTGGCTCTTCCTATGGCCATTTATAAACCATTAAAATACTAGATTGGTAGGGAGAATATTGAAATCCTTCTCCCATTTTTCCTCCTCCATCCAACTCTCCACTTGCACTAAAAGTAAGAATATAGATAAAAACAAAGTTGGAGCCCCCACCCCCGGGGGGTCTCTAAGACATTGGAAGTATACAGGGGAGAGGGCAACTGGTTTAGCAGAATTCCTTAGATATACCATAATCAGGTTTTGTAAATTATGTGCGATTCCATAATATAATGAATATAATATCTTCAACTCGTAGAAAATTCAAGTGTGTTTTTGTCCTTGTATGGGTTCTTCAAGTCCAATCTCTTAGTAGCTTCAAAAGTATTTTTATCACTTTCTCTCATCAAGAAAGTGCTTCTTTTTAATGATTCTACTTTCCATATTCGTATCCAGAAGGAGAAGAAAGGATAGAAAAATATACTTTCGAAATGAAAAGGATATTTATGGGCATCAATCAGGGAACTTCTGCCGGGTTTCGGTCCACTTGATTGTGATCTTTTATTATAACTGCACTATGGTCCCTGAACTTCTTGAGAAAATCCATTTTCGCTCCTAAACTTGTTGAAGTTGTTGAACTTAGTCACTATCATATTGCATTTAGATATACATGCTTTCCTAAAGAATGTATATTGTGCTTACATGACTATGAACCAGAACTTTACATATACTAATCAAGTAAAGATTACTTTATAAAATTTAATTTGCTTACACGAAATATGTCAAAGCCATTCAAAAGGAAGAAGAATTGCATCCTATCAAGTGCAACCAGTCCTATAGGTCATAATACGGATAAAAGGTATATTTTGAATATGTTTTTCTCAATGATGTAATTTACGTTTTCTCTTTCGGTCGCAAACATCAAATTTTTTTCCCCTTATCTTATAGAAGGAATATGTCATGGCCAGTTCATTTTGAAATGGATGCCTCAATCTCATATATTTGCAGAAATTCCTTCAAGTGTTAAAAAGTTGCCCTGAGCTTTAAGCCTACAAAAAGGTTGATTGCTTTAAGTACACAGAAAAATTGATCGGAGATGGATTGAACAATTAATGAAAGTTGCATATTATATCCTTTCAAATGACTGTTGAATTGACCATAGCTCAAGACAAGACAAATAACCACTAGAATATTTTGTACGAGCCATTTTCCTTCCACAGACATAACGAATCATTGAGTGAATATTAGAATTGAGTTGACCACCAATTGTATGATCGTATTTGATTTTGGAAAGTAACAATTCTAACACTTTCCAATTAATTCGGTATTATTCCTAGTCACTATCATATCGTGGAGCAGAAACGAACCAAAAACTATACATGCTGAGGATTAAAACCACTTAAAAGTTCAAAAGCTAACGTTCCCAGCCAAGTGTGAAAAGTTAAAAACATCTTTCTTGAGATATTTCACATGTCAACTTAAAGAGTTTCCTGTATTAAATTGAAAACGTCATTGTTTCTTTCTTAAAGTATAGAACTTGGTACATCATGTTGCAATGAATTCTGAATATCATTCTCTAAAGTTATACTAGGTAGAAACATCATTCCTGCTTAGCCGACTAAGTATCTGAACCAACTGATGATGTCCAAAGTGATCAGAATGTTTGAATTCCAATGACCATCATAAAGCATCAAGGCGCGAAAATATCTCGTAAATTTTAGATTCCGGAGTTCTTCAAATTCATGCTTCCTAATGATGAAAATCCAATCCGTTTGGATTTCTCTATTTTTTTAAAATAAATTTTTCAAATACAATACTATAGTAATACACAAACAAAAAGCAACTCAAAAAAATATTTAAACAAAACTTTTCATATACACTATTATAGTATTAGTTTTTAAAAAATACACCCAAAAATAATTAATCCAAATGGAGCAGCCTTGGAAATTTTGTCACAGCACTACTATTTCAATGCTAAAACTTCTTATCATCATAAGTTGTTAATTTAGCCTAATAGACTTCCTTGCTAATGGTGATAGATTGTACTATTTTCATCACTTTGTTGTCCACATTGAATATCAGAACTATGTCAAAAATCTATCTCCACTTTCTCCCCATTTTAACCAGAACACAAACTTTGTTCCACTTTATGACCTATGTGCATTTGAATAATCTCATTCTTTTTTGCTAAAGCATCTTGGATTGGGGAAATTAGACCATATTATCACAAATCAAATTAAATTTCTCTATTATTACCCATCACTGGTATATTTGAGCATCAAACAAAGATGCAGTTTTATAATTGCATTTATACTACAATTGTTTTCATGTAATTTTTTAGTAGCATAAAATTCAATGACCAAGGGCTTCTTTAGACAAACTTAGGGTTTCACATTTTCATCTTTAGAGGAGAGATTCCATCTTTTTGCTCTCACGCGAAGAAGGGGTAAAGACGAATCGCACCAAGACTAAATGCCATGCAAAACATATCTTCTCATGCTGGCCAAACCATTACATTGACAGAAAGGGATGCCATGGATTTATATTGATGAGAACGGATGACTAAGAAACAAGCTCCACCTCATTATGCAATTCACACATTAGTCCTCACTTTTATAAGTGAAGAATTTTATAGCCTGTAATATTAGTCCAATCTAAACCTAACCTATAATTTTTTCAAAAAAAAAACTTAAAAAGAAAAAAATTATTAAAAAAGAAAACTTTCATTCTTTGATTAGTTTGTGATGCACAAGATCTTTCCTCCCTGTCTACGTCAAATTCTTTAACAATTACGTCAATAGATATATGGATAAAAAAAAAAGACGTGCTTATTATAATCTAACATTGTCACATCTACAAAGCAAAATAAAGTGAATAAAGGCCAGAAGCAAGTGGACCTTTCACATGAAAGAATTCTCCACTTCCCTTTTTGAATAAGAGTTTTATAACCACTCATATGTGTGGTTCTTTCTTTCTGAATATAAACGAACTAGGTTTTTGATACAATCATGCACCTTCTTTTTTCACATTTATGAGCATAATCTTCCAAGGTCTTGGAAATAAAATGAAAAATCCTATTTGGAATTTCATTACCTTTGTATTTATTTAATATTTTGGGAATGAACCTGACGGGTTTCAAACATGCACACAAGTTCGATTCTAAACATTCCCGTTTATCTGCAAGTACACAAGCTGTAATTATAGTTTAAGGAGTATAAGGATCGATCCCACAAGGAGCTCTAATCAACTATTAGGTACTTACTTTATTATTTAGACAAATATAGGTTAAAGCAATAAAAAGATAAATAATTCAACTAAATTGGAAATATAATAAATAACTTGTAGATGAAGACTTTAGAGGAAAATTTATCAAATACCAAGGATTTAGGGTATAGATTCCACTAATGATCAAGAATACTAAAGAATGGATCAACCTATTGCCATTTGATAAATGTATATTTTGTAAATATTTTGAATGGATTGTGGTTGAAGTGGGTTTAAAATGATTATGAGAATGGTAATTTAGTTGATTAGGTGATAACTAGTTAATGTAGTAAGCAAAGTATAGAAAATTATGCGAAATAGGGCAGACTTAGTTGTTAAATTTGTTGTGACAAGAATACAAGATAAATGGTAAAAGATAGAGGGAACTCAACCAGATATCAAGCAAGATACTCACCAAAAAGTTTTCAAAAGCATGGGTATTGAGAGGTATACGGTGCTGATTAACGAAAGTCAAGCCGAATGCCGAGTCGGATTCTTGAGCGAGAAACTTCTTCAAGCTGTGCAACTTGCAACCAACTTTTAACT